TTTATTTATTTATCAATTTCTACCCCAGCCCTCTAGACAAAATCTACTTGGGGCGGCTTACAAGCAGTTATAAAACATCATTAAAAGTCATCAAAGCAATCACATAATTAAATCACCAAATTTAAAAGTTCAAGATGGGGAAAAAGGAAAACTAAAGAGAAAAAAATCAAGTGTTGGCTGGAGGGAAGGCCTGCCTAAAGAGCCAAGTCTTTAACTGACTCTTAAAAACACCCACCAAGGGTGCCAGGGTGATTTCCGATGGCAAGATGTTCCATAGTCGAGGGGCCACTGCTGAGAAGGCCCGGTTTCTTATTCTTTCTCTCTCAGCGTTACGCCCCTCAGCCATCTTTCCTGACTAAAACGAGTGACTCGGGTAGATCTAGGTATGATTTGGGAACTGGTTAAAGAATAGAAAGGGGATGTCATGAATAATTAGGTAGTTTTCTTACAATGGGTGAAACTAAGCATTGGGACCCTAGGGAGGTAACTTGGGTTGAAGGTGGGTTTTTTTTTTTACTTATGTATCACCCAGGACTAACCTTAAAATAGGCAAGCCTAGAGATAATACCAAATTATTTAGGATGATGAAAATTCAAGCAGACTTTGAAGAGTCCTAGAAAACTACCCAAAAGTTCAGTGTAACCATAAAATAAAAGCATGGGGCAAAAATGGGGAACAATTAGACATGATGGTTTTGTCAGATTCAGTACATCACTCAAATACAGTGGTGCCCCGCATAGCAAGCACCCCGTTTAATGACGAATCTGCATAGCGATGCATTTTTGTGATCACAAAAGCGATCGCATTGCGACGTTCTCAATGGCCAAAAATTGCATTGCAATGTTTTAAAAACAGCTGATCGGCGGTTCCAAAACGGCCACTGGAAAAAATGGCCGCCCGCACCGTTTTCGTGCGGTTTCCCTCGCATACCGGGCAGCGAAAATAGCGGCGGCCGTAAGGAGGATTTCCGCATAGCAGTTTTCCCCCCATAGGAACGCATTAAACATTCCTATGGGGTTTTTAGTCCGGCATAGCGACGAATCCGGATAGCGATGATTTTTTCAGAACTGATTATCGTCGCTATGCAGGGCACCACTGTACTTGTGTACTCAGTGCCTCATACCCTAATAATATGTGTTCCAGATGTGCTGAACTACAACTTCCAACATGCTTCCTCCCTTATCCCCATCCCCCCCCCATATGTTGGCTGGGAGTGACATGAGTTAGCCCAACACATTAGATAAGAGGAAGTTGCATTCATTCCTTGATGATTGCTGGCTGGAAAGCATAAACAAGGTTTGGATGCCAAAGGCCAGCTCCTGACTTTCATTTTTGCATTCTCATTTCAAGTGACAAAGCCAATCTACCCTCTAATTTTCAGCCCAGATTCTCTCTCTCTCTCTACATGCGTCTCAACCTTCCTGTACACAGGGTTCTGTCATGACTAGAACCAAAGGGGTTGAATGAGATCACTGTGCAGAGGAGGAAGAGAGCTGCACGGAGGCAAGTGGAGTTGTGACCACCCATGCGTGCGCCCAGTTTAGACAGAACCTAGGACAAGGCTCTCTACCTACACAGAAACTCTGAAAATTAAGAAATGAATCTCCTGATATAGAGTAAGTTGTCTAGCAAAGCAGGATGAAACTGTATTTTCAGATAGCTCATCATTAAAATCTGAAAACATCTTATTCTTTCACGCACATATTCTGAGCAATCATACTTGCAAATGAATCGTGTTTACTTGCAATGATGAAATAAAGCAAGCTTACTTGCAAAATATGGGAGGCATGGAAAGCTCAGTGGCAACAATCAGATGTCTTTCAGCATTTGAGGAATTTTACCTTCTAATGAAGCCTTATCTATAATGTAACATTGACCCTTATTCTCAATAGTCTTTGTGAACAGAAGCCACAGATCTACCACTGCCCTTCTGTGTCATCATAGGATGTTTCTAGCAAAAGTGGGTAGTAGCTTATTCAAGAAAATCTATGTCTTCTTGAAATTAAGCAATGTTGTTTCTTTTCATTCTGCATGATCTCATTGTAAGTTCCCTTGGAGCATCTGTCTGGTCACTGTCAGAAACAGCGATTAGATAAAACAAGCCCACCCCACCTTCATGCCCTACAGATATCCTATAACTCCCATCAGAAGCAGCCAACATGGCCAAACTGGAAATGGTGGAATCGAAGCAATTTAAAAGAAAAAAATCTGGGGGCTGGAGAAGGATGGATTAGATCAGTGGTTCTTACCCTTGGGTTACTCTGGTGTTTTTGAACTGCAACTCCCAGAAACCCCAGCCAGCACAGCTGGTGGTGAAGGCTTCTGGGAGTTACAGTCCAAAAACACTTGAGTAACCCAAGGTTAAGAACCACTGGATTGGATAAGATCTTTCTAGTGATCCAACACGGTTATTATGCTCACATGTACTTACACCTGTGACATATCGAAAAGTACACAGTTTTATATTTAGCTTTACCTACATCAGCTCCTGATGTTGAAACATCAAACTGCTACTGGTGGTTAAAATGAGCTTGGCAGTGTTCATAGGTGCTGCAGGAATACTTGGTGAAAGACATGTGCACAGATGTAGACTCCTTACACTCTGGATGGTGGCCAAGGTACAGTATCGTTCACTTACTATCACAATGAATAAAAATGCACTTTCCCCACCTAACCCATACGGTTGATTTGGCTTGGGATTTTAAAAAAAGAACCATCATGCCCTGAAATTCTTTCTGTTGCTTGACTGTGGAACTCATCCAAATTGTTCTGAACAACGATATCAGAACAAGACAATGCACTGTGATGCAAATTATAGATATTTGTTGCATTTCCCTTGGACAGGGAAACACTTTACTATATTTGCACTCTTGAAATTGAAAGGAAGGCTTTTCAATGGTTTACCTCCTGCCCTTCTGTTTGAACACAGCTTTCTAGAAATCTGTCTTGGCTCAGAACTGCACTGCCCTTGTTAGTAGGAAATTGCAGGGCTGGACAGCACTAAATACTCAGAAGGCAAATTGCTTCCCCCCCACCCCAATTTAATGAACTGCATGTTCATTACAAGGGAGATGAGCAAATTAAACAGCACAAACTGAGTTTCCCTAACAATCTCTGTACTTGGGAGAACAGATGGAGAATTACAGGCGTTTAAAGCAAAACATCTCACACAAAAATTACAAATCTACATTATAAACCATGTACCTCCTTTCATCCTGATGGGTATAAACTTCAACAGTGTTTGTGATCATCAGGATATTGCTTTACAAGCTGCAGCGTTTGCCTCATTAGACTTTACATGCAGAGGACTAAAACTCATTCAACATAGTCATTAAAACAATGTGTATAAAAATCCCATTGTTCTACATCTTTATTCACCAGTCCTGAATACATTCACACATGTATGGATATTATTAGTTTTAATTTAATACATGGACATGTATGTGTTGATAGTCATACTATAACCTCCGTTTTCTCTGATTAATACCAATGTGTTTGCCCTTAATAATATTAATTGTCATTAAGTAAATGTTACTTGCACCCTGTTTACAGGGAGACTGATAGTTAAAGCACACACATTTGTGTGGACATGTACATAAATATATGGACATATAGCTAGACAGACAGACATGCTCAGATCTTGGCAGAAACAGAAAAGTCTTAAACATAATACAATGTGAAAGTCTGACGCTTCTGAAACTAGTGGTTGAGTGATGGGGGATACTGTCTTTTATTTTCCTCAGACAAATGAGCCTCGTGGCGCAGTGGTTAAAACGCTGTATTGCAGCTAAAACTGTGCTCACGACCTGGGGTTCAAATCCCAGGTAGCCGGCTCAAGGTTGACTCAGTCTTCCATCCTTCCGAGGTCGGTAAAATGAGTACCCAGCTTGCTGGGGGGGGGGCAATGTGTAGCCTGTATAATTAAAATTGTAAACCGCCCGGAGAGTGCTTGTAGCGCTATGGGGCGGTATATAAGTCCAAAACAAAAAACAAAAAACAAAACAAAAAAACAACAACTAGAATTTCCCCAAAGCAGATTTCCTGTCAACAGTTACAACACTTTTAACCTGCCCTACAAAATAACTTCGAGTGTATTGTTCACTCGTGCCAGAAAACTGCAGTAGTGGTTGTTGCTGAAGGGAAAATGGAGCAGCCTTTACAAAACATGCAGATTTAACTTGCACTCTTAGGATCATAACCACCATTAACCCAGAAGGCCAAATCTGCAAAACTGCACTCGATCACATGTCTCAAAAAGAGCAGGAAATTTGCAATCAGACAATACCAAGAATAGCACATACATTCGATGATCCTGTTGGTTATTTACATATGTGTAAGTTAAATCTCATAACTCACTGTGGCCAATTGCTACTAAGTAATGAGGAGCTGGTCTCATTTTCTTAGTGTACGTCTGCTGTGACAGTAAGTAATGTGCTTGGTGCCTAGTTGGTAAGTAATTCCAGTATAATTTACATTTGCCTGCTGTGACCAAAGGATCACCATAAGTCAGAATTGACTCATCAGCATATGATTATTATTAAATCACCAACAAGATTTCTGAATGATCACTCAAAAGATCTTCAAAAAAATTTGGCTAACTGCAATATTAGAAGCTGTGGAATCATATTTAAGGAAGGTAACAAAATTTACAGGGCAGCTACTTCAAACATATGAAGGTCCGGGACTTCAAATCCTGTGATTATAGACGTACTTGCATACACAATGGGGATAAATATAAGAGAATCATTCTTCTCTTTAGGAAATTAACAACTGGGTTTCCAGGCGCTAGAATACTGTCTTACCCTAGTAGTATAGGCTGCTTCAGGGTCATCTTCCAGAACACGAGACATGCCGAAATCTGAAACTTTACAGACCAAGTTGCTGTTGACTAATATGTTTCGAGCGGCCAAATCCCGATGCACGTAGCTCATGTCTGACAAATACTTCATCCCAGAGCCAATGCCACGAAGCATCCCTACCAACTGGATTACCGTAAACCTGCCATCGTTCTTCTGCAACAGATAAATAAATAAATAGCATCTGCAGAGGAAAAGGGCAAATAATATGTTTCTCTTTGTTCTTATCTCACTGTCATTTCAGCCTTTTGAATCTCTACCCATTCAATCACAAATGGAGAATGTGGGGTCCTCTAGAGATGTTGTTGGACTACAACTCCAAAAATGTCCATCAACATTATGTTGGCTAGGGTGACTGCTGCTAGGTGCCACTTCCCAACAATATCTGGAGGGCAGTACTCTTTTCACCATCCTATTATGGATTATTGGGTACTTGGATGAAATTGTAGTCTTTCCACTCACCTCTCTTAAAGCCACTGACAAAAAACATAATCATAATTCAATAGATCTAGAAAAACATTAGCAGTCTAAAAATTCCCTTTGTGGCCAATCTTATTGGGAATAAGGCAATAAGGCAGGCTAGCAGAGATGTAAATCTTTGCTTCTCTCTTTCTTGCCTGAAAGAACAAGGAACTGCAATATTTTTCTCTCTGCCAGCAAGGCTGGACGGAACGTTACACAACTATCCATAGAGTTCTTGTACTGGTAACAACTATGTACAAGAACATGCTTTAGTAAAGTTGCCCATCTCTTGGAGAAGAAAGCCCACTGTGTAAAAATTCTTGTTCAGATGCATTAAAAACTGCAATTTATGCAATTATATTGCACAAACTGCCCCAAACTAGGATTATGACTGCTTAACACCAAACGTTCTAGCACTGGATGGCTTTTTTGTATCCTTCATTGCAACCAATGAATCATTTTAGGCTTGGCATGTGGGTTTCTGTCTTTTTTTCCTTTTAAAAAGGAAAGGATAGTACAAGCATTTTGTTCAAATTGCAGAGACCTTCAAGGAAAGAAACAGTCTTTTTGTCTCAATCTCATAAGATTCTCATAAGGCTTAAAAAAATTTCACTGAGGAGCCTGGCTGTGTGGAGACAGTCATGATTCATCATTCTTAACTGAGGAGCCTGGCTGTGTGGAGACAGTCCAAATCAAAAGGAAATTCAGTAAGTATTCTTTCTATCCCTACTGGGTGGTTTTTAGAGATGGTAGTTTTGAATATATTGGACTTCAGATGCCATGATTCATCATTCTTGGAGTTCTACCTGACAGACAGACAGTTTATAGCTCTTCTGGGAGAAAGGCCTGAACCGGAAGGCTTTTAACAAGGCTTTCTTCTGCCCAGTCTTACTGTTCCTACCCCAGTACTAGCTTGGAGTTTTCTTTGTGAACAAAACCTTGGGCGGAACTAAGCCTAGCTCAGCTTCAAAGCCTTCCAACTGAGCCTTTCTCCCAGGTGAGTCATATCTAAGTGTCTGTAAATTTATTGTTTATCTATTTATTTAAAATATTTATATGTCACATTTCTACCAAAGGATCCAAGGGGGCTATCTGTCAGGTGCAACTCCCAGAATGTTGTGTCTTTCAGGCAGAACTCCCAGAATGGAGAATTATAGGATTTGTAGTCAAAGTAATCCACAAAGCCCATCCCTATGGTCTTTATGGGTTCACTAACAGTGGGCATCCATGTTACTATTTGCTGGTAGGGGAGAAAGACCCTATTTCTCCATGGAACTTTGAACTCCTTCCACAGTATATCTTATTCCTCCACAGGGTCCTATACCACATAACCAGGTGTTTAAAATAAAATACTGCAATTTCACTTATTTGTCATCCAGCCCAATAACTCACCACCCAAGTACCGCCCACTGTCTTTTCTCCTGGCGTCCTAGGATGTATGGAATGCTCCAGTTTTAATTAACTTACAACACCATCAGACTTCTAATGAGCATTTTAATCAAACCTGCTTCTGATTAAGCACAGATTACTGAGAGCTTATTATTTTATGCTTAACTTCCAGGTTGCCTTCCTACCTCTCCTAGCAGCTGCAGTAGAAAAACACACTTGTAAGCATTTCTGAAATATAATTCTGTCTTACTAACCACAAAAGATAAAGCTATAATAGTGTTTCGCTCTATGGGTTTATCATATTGCAGGTACCTACCCTGAGAAAGGCATCCAAAGAACCATTTTCCATGTACTCAGTTATAATCATGACAGGCTTACCTATGAGAAGAAAGAATTAAATGCAGATGATTAGGCAAGGAATTGTCTTTTTGTCAGCTAACTTAATTCCAAAAAGACCTGGTTTCTTCCTTAGCTGGCGTAAGCCAGAAATGAAATAACACAAGGCTCTAGTGTTTGCTATCTCCAATCAGAAGATTAGCACTTCAGCTGACTCATTGACAAGGTCTTTAACTATGGTACACACCATCATCTCTAGAGAATGTAAGAATCCATAATTGCTCACTAAAGAGAAATGGCCATGTTGTAATAGACCCAAATAGGCCTATTTGTGCTTGGAGTAATGTAAAGATAATTGCATCATTTGCTACGGAATTTGTATGTCCGTAGGCATTTGGCTGAGAGAAATCAAAAGTTATGGTTTGAGGGATGCAGACTGTCAGCTTAAAGAAGATATTCAGGTGTGCATAACAGTCATTTCCCTTCCATTTATTCAATTCATAACCTTTATTTGGCCATGTAAAAACATGATTTACTCATTTCCTTCATAATGAAGGAGGCATGTTCAAATTAGTCAATGAAGTATGCACTGCAGACAAAATCAAGTTTAATAAAAAATACCCAGCTGAAGATGAAATGTAGGTTGTTCAATGCTGATGGTATACCAATCAATATACAATGAACCCATTACCATTAAGTGGAATTCATTAGTATGTTCACGAGTTATCCACGTGGCCCTATGACGTGATTCTTAAGACATCCTGCTTATACATTCTATCTAACTTTCCTGCTTTGACACTCCAATGTGTGAATGCATCTAATAATAACTGAAAATGGAGAAACAGCAGCCAAAATGATCAAGGGGCTAGAATATTTTTCTTATAAAGCAAGGTTGGAATAATTTTCATTGTTCAGCTCAGAAAGAGAAAAGTAAGGGGAAATATGATGCTAGTACACCTAATCATGAATGGTGCAGAAACAGTATAAAGGTAGAAGGACTTCTGCCTCTTGCCTAAAACTAAAACCTGGGTTGTTCTTCCTCTCTCTCCATCCCCCTTTCCTCTCCCCCCCTCCCCCTGTAGTACTAAGGGGCAAAATACCTCTGCGTATTAGCTGCTTGGGAGCATTAAAGTGTTGAAGTCACATAGTACTTACGGGCTTCTCACAAGCAGCTGGTTAGTTACAGAGAGAACAGAAGGATGGACTAGAGAAGCCTTTGATATAAATCCAGCATATTTTTTTAAGTTCTCAAAATACATTATTCTTAAAGATTCAGATGGCACTTGAATCTAGACCTCTCCTTCTCTTATTTAAATATGTCATGAATGGATCAGGAGATCCAGTTTTCTACAGTTAAAGGGAGGAGAATGTTACTCAATAAAAATAACTTGCATTTGTCCTAACAGATCTACAGTAGTTTAAATTAAAGGATTTATTTCACTGAACAAGTTTCTACCTATTCATCAATCCATCTGCCCACCCACCAGCAGGATCTGCTCAAATGCTGGCTAGGAAAATTGAGTGCATGTGAAATATTTTCACACTGAAAAGTTCCTATAGTTGTTTCTACATCAGCACATTTTTCACTCAGCAGGTCGCCTGACTTGCAGTTATGCTAGGAGTTCCAATTTCATATTATTGCCAGTTCTGATTACAAAATAATATATTAAGGAACACTAATAGACTGCCAATTGTTCACCTTTGAATTTTTATTTTTTGAATTAGGGGCTGCTAACCTAAGGCTAGCCTCTCTATGGAACATGTATGTTCAGGATCCCCTTTATTGCCACATTATTGCAATAAAATAAAATAAAATAAAATAATTAAAATCCCTTCCCTGATCTTATTCCATATTTGTTACACAGAACTAGTCTGTATTGAAACCATACATCTGTAGTCCTAACTATCTTATTTGCATTAACAAAGGCTTCTCTCTAGCCCACTCTGTACGCATGCAAAAAATCTAGGACAGCTGCATCAATATAAGCTTAGAAATTCTGGCCAGGAATTCAAATACTTAAAAGGCAAAGCCTGTGGAAAATGAGCTCTTGATGTATGAACATTCACCCCTCCCAAGATTCATCAGCGAGAATGGAGCCCCCTCAGACCCAATCTGCATATTTCCCCATGTCATTTACTCTTTACAACTGTGACTAGAGTCACTTGACAGAACAAACAGATCTAAATGGGTTTTAATTAACCTTCTGCAATCAAAAGATACTCTGTCAACTTAAAGAAATAAGAGACACTCTTCATTTGAATATATTAATGTGTGACTCCATTAGACATTATACCTAAGCAAGGAAGTGTTGAGGTGAACGAAAGGCATCTTGAATCACAAGATGGAGCTGAAGCCCCATCTTATCATATTCCCTCTGTGTAGAACAAGGAGAGCTCAAGGGAGCCAGTGGCCTTAATCTTGAATCAGTGGAACCTACCAAGCTGCAACTGATTTAGTGGGTCAAGTCTAGCTGAAACCTACAATTTGATTTAGGCAATTGTCTGAAGGGATACAATTGGATTCCACCATTCTTTTGAAAAGCAACATGCAACTTTCATATTGGATGTATAATGCATTGGTTACAATAACAAATCTGTTTGATTGCACCTTCATAATATGGCTATGGAAGTAATTATACAATATTTGTATAGTACACTTAAAATTATCCAAAAAAACCTATTTGGAGTCTTATTTATCCACAGAGTCCAACCATGAAGTCTAAGATCTTAAGATAACTGAGTACTAATATGTATAAGTTATCCTTCTCCTCATCCCCTCCCTGACACTCTTTCACAACTGTACACGCACACCAATTTGCCCCAACTATCTATCTTGTGTTGTAATTTCAGGAGTCTTAAATGCACTCATTTATCACCAATGCTCGTAAAACTACAGGAGAAAATTGAGACAAATGTCTTCTTAAGTCAGCTTGTTTACTAAATGGTGACAGTTTGAAGATGTCTATGCTGGTTTGTAGGTAAAGTCTGAACTATCGGCGGCCAGGAAGCAGAGCCCACTTGGTTTGGCCTCCCACCTTCTGTTGGGATTTTTAAATCAAGTTGAAGCAGTGACAAGTACATTATGCAAATGTATCTAGTCATTTATAACTGTTACAGCTGTAACAGCTTGGGGGGTTAAAAGCTTCAGTGGGATTTCAATACAAGCACTCCCTTGTTAATTCTCTGTTTTACTAAGGTGGCATGAAAATCACTGTCTACAGAGCAAAGAACTCTGGTATAAACCAGATGTCTCTTTTTTGAAGGGAATGTACCTATAAAACTATATATATATTGTTGTAAAATTTGGAGACCCTGAATGAAGTATCAGCAAAGAGAAACCTTTTTTAAAAAATGTTATCAATCTGTCATTGTATGCTTTTACATACATTTGATTTTCAGGAAGTCTTAAAAAATAATTGGCCTAGATAAACGCAGAATAACAGGGAGAAAGACCAGTGGTGTCCCTCCCTATGTCTATGTATTAATATAAATGTGTGTATAATATTTTAGGTTCACTTATTTAATGTGTTTACTATGAAGTACATTTTCACAAGTGCAGATGCAGCTGGCATACATACACCTTCTGTGTATTTGGGCTCCATATGAGGAGGTTAAAAATGAATGAAAGAAAAGGTAAACATTCTACTCTTAACTAGAGATTTTCAAGATTGGTGGGCATTAATAAACTCTAATTGCAAAATGTAAGTGGTTCATTCAGCCAAATCATCCCCTAAAGATCTGCTGTCCAAGTGGAAGTAAAAGAATTGGTAACCTAAATGGACTATTTTTATTCTGACAATATTGGTCTGGGCATGTTTTAGTTACACCCAGTGAAATAGCTGGAGATGGGCCACCTTAAACAGTTCCAGCTCTATAGCATATCTTTAATTAGGCTTTATTGTGGCAGTCCAGCACAAGCCTCACAGGTACGTACATGGCCTGAAAACCATGAATATGAGGTTTCATTCTACTGGAGACCACTGGTACAGGGAATGCCTTTAAACAGGGAGATGAGGAGAGTTACTGGAAATGGAGACAAATGCATCCAAGACATCAGATATTTTGTATGAAGGATAAAGCATTATTGTCTTTTGAAAGATCTACTTTCTCGGCATCTGTGCCTGAACACATCAAGCGCACACCATTGCAGGTTTATTTTGCTTTAACTTCTATGAAATATTTTAGATGCTTTGATTAACACCTGCTCTCCTCCTCCCTCATTGTATAAAAACTCACCTTGGTCCTAAAATCTGACTTTCAAAAATACCCATCTGGCATGCAAATAAAAAATGTGGAAGAAACCTCCCCCCTCCAACCGCAGGCATCTTTCTACTACATTCCCCCTTAAACCCGTTAGTATTAAGTTTCCTTGTAAAATTATGCACAAGTTGCTTGGAGATAGGGTATCGGCTATAACAATAAAACCATTTATAGCTGACAACAAGATTAATGACTAGCCCTGCACTGATTTCCTCCTATTAGTTATCAGTGGATCTATTCCATCTGTCATTTCACAGTAAGAAAGGAGAAAGCCCTGCATAGATTTAATTTCACAGTGACTTCCAAATTATCCTGGTCAAAGCTATGGCTGCAGTTGGGATAATAGATCATGGCCTACTCACATTTAGTAACTACTCCTTCTAAGTGGATGATGTTGGGGTGGTCAAACTGTCCCATGATGCTGGCTTCACTCAAGAAGTCCCTTCTCTGTTTGTCTGTGTATCCAGCTTTCAGAGTCTTGATAGCAACACAGATCTCCCTCTTTCCTGGCACTTTGAGACGACCACTGCAAACTTCACCAAATTCACCTGCAGGGAAAGGTAGACGGCGTAAAGAGACATATTGACCACTAAATAAATCACTGTTTAATTTTAGTGTGATTTTAATTCTGTGGGGCTTGTCCTAACTGTTTCTATTAAAACTCATAAAGATTTCTCTTAACTGATGACAACACCATGTTAGTATGTGCACTGCACTTCTGATATTCCTTAGATTCAAGCTACAACATTGTTTGTCTTATATATATACGACACTCCTTTCAAAAAGGAATAACATGCCATTAAAAGCAAAAACAGTTATTTCATTTCACTAAACACAATTGTTGATGAGCTAAGACCATAAACTACTTTTTTCCCAAAAAACATTTACTAAGCCATCTTGAAGACCTAAACAGCAAAGAAGTTGCACAAAAATCTGCTAGATGAAGAAGTAACAGAAATATTGAAGTTGTTGCAGGAAATTATAACCACAGTAATCATAATTGCTAACATTATTAATCTGCTATTTGCTAACATGGTAATGTCTTAAACTTACCAACACCAATTACTTTTTCAATCTTTATACAAGAAGCATCAATTTCTTTGGCAAATTCCCGCACAGCTTGGTTGGGATCCTCATAGGTGAAGGGGTCTACATACGTTCTAACACCTGCAATGCAAATATATTGTGTTGGATGTTGCTGCCTTACATATGCAAACAATGTAGCAAGGAAGGAGCATTGGTACATATCCAGAGAAAGGGTGCTTGAAAGGGTGAGTGAGGACTGAAATAAAGCTCAAAGGGATCCAGATCCCATAATGTAAGTGAATTTGAAGGAACATGTCATTTGTCCACATATTCAAATATGTAAGCATGCCTTCCTCTGGGAACAAATAGCAGTGATACCTGAAATATATTAGTGTAGTGTAAAAAGTAAAATTGCTAAAAAGAAAAGCTCCCCTGTTGTCCTGTATTAGGGACAATAATGAGTACACGTATGTCGTATTAAATTTCGTTTTGAGTCTCTCTGTCCATATGGAAGCAGTCTCAACAGGGAAATGACCAGAAGGAACAATTTTGTATTAAAGAAAATAATAGGAGTAAGACTTCTGTTCAGAAATCTTCTAGAAAGATGTTTAAAATGGTGAAATGTTGATACGTTCCCAACATGGAAGATGTTTTTAAACATTTAGTTGTGTGAATAGAACATTACAATGGTAACCCTACAAGTGATTGCCCAGGAAATATTTCCCCATGTTCCCCCCCCCCGGGGGGGGGAAGGAGAAGGGAACCATTCAGCCCAGTATTCTGGGAAGGAATTACACTGGGAGCAGGACCCAGGACATGTATGTATGTGCATTTAAATGCTTAGATGTCCATACACTAGATTTCTACATGTACCAGCAAACTCATTTAGCTCTTTGTGAGTACTTGCTGGCTCAAGATTAAGTCCTACTTATGTGGAGGGTAAAGGGGCTGGCTTACTTTCAGGGAAGTGGTACAGGCCTGTAGCCTAACCTTTACCTATAAAACTATATATATAAGTGGTCCACAACCTTGGGCCTCCAGATGTTCTTGGACTTCAACTCCCAGAAATCCTGGCCAGCAGAGGTGGTGGTGAAGGCTTCTGGGAGTTGTAGTGCAAGAACATCTGGAGGCCCAAGGTTGGGGACCACAGGTTTAGTGAATGAATGCAAAGGAAAAAACTGGAAAATGGCACACAGCCACAACACTCTTGTGGTTATGTTAGAGACTGTGATGCATCAAAGCTGATATATTTAAAATACAACAGATGATATCCACTAAAGAAGAAAAAGAAGGAAAGAAATCATATGTTATTTTAGAAAATAAGACTTAAAAGTATGATGTCATGTGTTCCAACCCACAGGACACCCCTCAAGTAAAGCAGCTGCTTTCGTCCTATGACTGTACTGGCATTTGGTTGAGTCATGCTTTTACCGGGATCTGCTTGCCTGCATATACTGTGATAAAGGCTACCAACAATGAAGTTACATACGCTATGAAATATGTAAATTGGGAAAAATAGCTTTGAAGAGCAAAAACTGCAAGGAACAATCACTTTTGAGGAAATAGTTTTTTCAAGAAGAGACAGCAGATCTGAAAAACAAGCACTGCTGCATTTTACCTTGGTTCAAATGCTTCTCCTCATCTGCTTCTTGCTTAGCCTTGCTGTACTTGCTCCTTCTGTTGGAATTAAAAAGAGAATTGCAAATCAAAATAAATATCTTACACCATGGTGAACTCTCAGCAGTGGAGCCGCTAAGATCTGAATTAGTAGACCTGCCAAAACATGTCTCTGCTACTACTGCCAAGGAGCTAACGTAGGCCTACCTCCAATGCAAGAGGCTGGTGCACTGCTTACACTGCATTAATTGTTACTATCCAGGAGAACAACACTGCATATTCAGAAAAATGGCAACTTTTTATTTTACAAATGTATATTAAAACTATTTATTTTATTACAGCAGATGATATAATATTTATAACTTTAATTTTCAAAGAAAGTCTTTAATAAACAATAGCAACATAAATCTAAAACAAGCTAATAAAAGATAGCTCTTTTGACAAGGGAGGGATTTTCACATCATTATGAACAAATACTAATTTCAGCCAATTCCAGCATCACCATAACATCTCTAGATCATGGGATTGAGGTTGGCTTACAACAGGGAAATCAGAAGTACCATTAGTTATTAAAACTCCAAGATTCTCAACATTTGGGCCACTGCTGCTTTTGTTTTGGTCTGTTAAAACCTAGAGATTTTTACTGTTGTCAATATTAGAAGCTCAAGGGCATCACAACATCTGGTTCTGGGTCCCTTGTGACAACTTGGTGACAAAAAGAAACAGTCTCTCCCCACTACGACTGTTCATACATGTTTTCTACCTAGTCCTTCCCATTTTCAAAGCAATTTTAATGGTGACTGTTTAAATTTTATCCTCGCCCCCCCCATTCAAACATCAAAATAATCATATTTTGCAGATGCACTTGGCACACCCATAAAAATCTTGATCTACAGTAGTACACCTGAAAATAACAAAACTTAACAGTGATCCCCAGGAGGACTGTAATCCTGAACCTAAAATGCCTACATCATATCTTTCCAACTGGTACACAAACACATCACAGACAGCATGTTGGCATTTTCTCAAGCTTGAGTTTTCTAGATCATGCGGATGACAACTCCCATCACCCTTGACCATTGACCATGGTGGCTGGGGATGAAGGGAGCTGTAGTCCAAAATCTGTTGGGCTGTAATGTCAGCAGCCATGCTATAGTATATCCCAACTAATTTCATCAGAAGGTGCTATATGCTCATTGGTTTGAATTAACATACAAAAAAGTCACACATGTACACACTTCTATGTACAATTGCATGCACGACTGTGTTATGGAGATGGGAAAGTAAGTTTGAAAATGTTCTCTCTCTCTCTTTGTTTGTTTCAACATAAAAAAACGGGAGGAAGAAAAAGCTCCCATGAGGTCTGAAGAAGGAAGCAGCTTAAAAAAGTGCAAGGAACCCCTTTCAGGGCCTAATTACAGATTACTAACTTCTTACAAAGGCTTCCTAGGTTGCTATTGTTTGTCTCAGTTCTACCTTTGTCACCTGATAAGCTTTTGCTCAAGGGTGGGAGACCACTGAGCCCTATTGTCTTGAAAAGATGCCTCCCTTTTGCTTCCCTCCCTGCTGCTCATTACTGAGTCACTAGGAGGGCATGGGAAGTTCTTAGGATGCCTGAGGAATGCTGGACACAAACTGACATTCACAGACAGCTCACCTGAATGACAGAAAGAAATCTTTGTCACAGTGCTCAGTCCCATAATTATAGGGATTTGGGTGACAGTGATTAAATAGTAGGTGGGGTTCAGGGAGGGAATCCAGGCCCTGTGAAAAACTGCAGGGGTCAGAGATTCAGGCAAGTCTACAGGTGGGGCTTTGAGGTAAAAAAAAAAGAGGTGGGCCTTAGAATCTGACAGATAGGCACTACACATGACAAAGTGAGAACCAAGGGGTATTAACAAGTATTGTTGTGAAACAGCATGGGACCCACATGCTATTCACCCAAGGCAATATGCAGAGAGTTGGCAACTTCAGCATTCACAAGCCAAAGTGGGAATACTAAGGCAGTTAAAAGCTTAGGGCTTCCTGAATTGCATCTTCGAGCAGAAAAATATGAGGTTGAAGCATTCCAAAACTCATCACTATAGGGACCTCAATCAAGCTGCAGTCACTTAATTCTAGATACTTTGATTTAACTTGCCGCTGATTATAAGAAAAACAGCCTTTGGCAAAACGTAATATAATTAGATACAGAAAGAAATGAAACAACCCACTATACCTTCCATTTCCTCTTTAAAAACCCAACAACATTTAAGCAGCACTGCTTTCCAGTGATTTTCAGCAGTTTTGAATCCTTTCACCCTTCTGTGCATTAACTGGAAATATATACGATGTACCCTTCCAATGCAAAACCAACCAACACTCAGAGCAGCTTACAGCACATTAAATGCAATAAAAATACACAGCAGCATGTAAGATACATACTACAGACAGGTTTCTGAGCAGTATTAGACAAAAGCATATCAAACACAAACAAAACAAAAGCACAAAAGAAGAGGAAAAATTGTGATACTTTATAGACTGCTATGGTTTAATCTTATGGATCAAGTCCCCTTCCTCAGACAATCTGTGAAAGTGGAGTTGATGAACAAAAGATAACACCGGTCTTTAAGATGGCACTAGATTTTTTTTTGTCTCGTTTTTTTAATCAGGAAGTACATCTAAATTATCTAATTGCAGAATGAACCATCATGAGATTTCCTAAAGAGATAACTAGTAAACCAACAGGTAGGACCACTTGCACACAGATGAAATGTGGTACATATTTGCTTTTGTGCCGCATTAAAATGAAATGCAGCAGAAAGCCGAGTTGAATCTGAATCTACTTAGATCTAGGCAAAAGCCTTATTTTAAACAGTAAGAGCAACAGAGCTGCTGAGAAACAGTCAATGGTTATCTATCCTCTGCTGATTTAATTAGTTTCTGCTAACACTGAAGTGAATTATACCCAGTTTGTTTTTGCTGAGAATCATGTCGTATGTGACAGCATTACTAGGCTCTCAAAGTAGTATCATTTGAAAGAACAGAAGACACTAAATGGGTTCTGTGTGTAGTTCTGCACACTATAAGGCACATGAAACCTGCATGATTATAGTGCATGACTACAGTGAGTTGGCTACCTGGTTGTGGAGCCACTGTTTCCAACTGTGCCTCCTGTCAGAAGAGCCAGCTTGTGTGGCCATTTTCTCTTTTGCTTGTCACTTACATAGTATATTATTAGCCATAGGAACATAGGAGGCTCCCTTTTGAATCTGGTCCTATCAGCTCTGAGTAACAACAGCCAACTATGATTTCAGGCAGAATTCTTCTGTAGCACCACCTTGAGACTTCTCACATTCCTTGGTGGTGCCTCACAGAATTACTAAACTAGCTTGACCCTAATTAGCTTCTGACATGAGAGGTGTTTAGAGTAATGTGTGCTGTTTAATTTTATTGCCCCCCCCCGAAAGTGAAACATTATTATGCAAAGTTTGCTTGCAAAACTAACAAACTCAGAAAACAGTTTGTATCCAGAAATGGAAAATGGCTAGTGTAGCGTTCTCCATTTATTAGATCTGTGGTTCTTGTTGTATTATGTAATGGTTTATGAATATTCATGTTGCTGAGAGGTGGAGTCAAAAGAGATGCTATAAGAGGTGGGGTAGGAGAGTCAGAGAGCAGATTAAGTCAGATTGAGTCAGTAAGAGAAATGTAAGAGAGTCAGGCAGGAAAGAAAAGCCAGACTGTGTAATAGAGTATGTAGCTTGGGGAAATTCTGAGGAATTATTAACCACTGAAGATATTCATGAATCAATCTATGTAATCAATAAACCAAAGTTTTATTTAAAAGAACTTGAAGTGTGGACCTGAATCTTTCTGGAGTAAATGGTGATTTAGAGATCACCTGGTGGCAGCAAGTGTAAAAGAAGAGAGTGTTTGCCTTCGTGTGCTCTGGGGCTTGAAGGTCAAGCAAGGGGCACGAGGGTGGACGCCACAGCTAGATTTAGCTCTAAGCAAATCTTTGATTCAGCTCAGAATAAATCAGTGGTGTCACCAGGCCCAATTTTAACCAGATTATGAAATATGCTAAAATCACAAGACATGCATCCAGGAGAACTGTAGGCCACTTGCTCTGAGTATATCACAGAATTGCTGTAGGGTTGGAAGGGACTTTGGAGGTCTTCAAGTCCAACCCCCTGCCCAAGGCAGGAGACCTCATACCATCCTGGACCTTATACCATCTTGGACAGATGGATGTCCAATCTTTTCTTGAAAACCTCCAGTGATAGGGCACCCACAACATTGGAGGGGGGGGCAATCTTTTCTTGAAAACCTCCAGTGATAGAGTACCCACAACATTGGGGGGGGGGCGCTATTCCACTGCTTAATGGTTCTCACCATCAGGAAATTCCTCTTTATTTCCAGGTTGGATCTCCCTCTGACAAGTTTCCACCCATTGGTTCTTATCCTATCCTCAGGCACAATGGAGAATAAATAGATGCCCTCTTCCCTGTGGCAAACCTTCAGAGATTGGAAGACTGCTATTATATCTCTCCTCAGTCTTGTCTTCGTTAAGCTAAACATACCTAGTTAATTTAGTCGCTCTTCATAGGATTTAGCCTCCTGTCCCCTTATCATCTTTGTTGCTCTTCTCTGCACCCCTTCTAGGGCTTCGGTGTCTTTTTTGTATTGTGGTGACCAGAATTGGGCACAGCACTCCAACTGTGGCCTCACCAGAGTGGTATAGAGTGGTACTATCGCTTCCTGCAATCTTGATGCTATTCCCTCTATTAGTGAAGTCTAGGACAGTGTTGGCTTTCTTGGCAGCTGAAACACACTGCTGACTCATCCTTAGGTGGTGGTCCACCAGGACACCTAAATCCCTCTCACATGTACTACTGTCCAGCCAGGTACCACCCATCCTGTATTTGTACATCTGGTTTCTCCTACCTAAGTGCAGGACCTTATTTTTCCTGCCACTGAACTGCATCGTCTTGGATAAGGCCCAAGTCTGTCTAGATCCTTCTGAATGTTGAGTCTCTCTTCCAAAGTACAGTCGTGTCCCACTATACAATTACCCCGTTTAACGGCGAATCCGTTTGACGGTGAGGTTTTTGCGATCGCTTTTGCGATTGCAAAACGATGGTTTGAATGGGGGTTTTCTGCTTTGTGATGATCGGTTCCCTGCTTCGGGAACTGATTTTCGCTTTACGACGATCAAAAACAGCTGATTGTCGGGTTTCAAAATGGCTGCCGGCTGAAGAAAATGCCCCCCCTGCTGTGATTAGGGATGGATTCCTTGCTGCATAGGCACCGAAAATGGCCGCCCCTATGGAGGATCTTCGCTGGACAGTGAGTTTTCAGCCCATTGCAACGCATTGAACAGGTTTCAGTGCATTTCAATGGGCTTTTTTATTTCGCTTTATGACGTTTTCGCTCTGCAGCAATTTCGCTGAAGCGAATTAACATCGTAAAGCGAGGCACCACTGTATTAGAAATTCCCCGCAGCTTTGTGTCATCAGCAAATTTGATAAGTGCTCCTTCAATCCCTTCATCCACATCATTTAGGAAGATATGATTCACTTCAGAACATCTCTTCCCATCTGTACAGCCCTTAATGGCACAAAGCTGTATCTTTCAACTCACACTCACTGGCTTGCTTTTATACTATTTCCACACAGGCACTTGAGTGTAGCAACCATTCTTACTCTGAACCACCTCGCTTTATCTCTTTTTGTCCAATCTGAACCCTTCCAAGGCCATAAAAAGGGAACTAAGGAGACAGCTTAAGGCAAAAGAAGTGCTGGTGGCAGACACATCCACTGTAGCAAGTCTGACAGCTACCTGGCTCCCAGCAGCCTTTCCTTTGACAGCTTTATGGCCGATACTAAAGAGAATCAATAGGAGAGCAGGGGGTTGACATTTCATTTTCTGAAAAGTGATCCATTGAGGACCAATCACCAAGTAGTGTTTATCTGTCTTGGGACTTGGCATACAAAAAATGCATAAAAAACTCCAAAATAAATAAAAATAAAAATGGGGACACAGGGTAGAAATAATCTTAGAGCAACTTAACAGGCATAGTTCTCCAAGGTGGCAACTCATAATTAGAAATCCAATGCATTCCAGTATCAATTCTGCCTTAAATAATAAAGTGATCAATAAAAGCAGAAGGAAATTCAAGTCATCAGGCTCAGTGATGCTATTTTCTGTTGCATTGGCTTTTAATAAACCTATCTCTCTGCACTACATTTTCATATGTTCTTTTTTCCTCTTGTCAGCATGGAGGCTGGTGAACCAGCTGAACACCCACCGAAATCCATTACAGTGAATGACTACTCATCAGATATTATAACCACGTGGATGTAACCACTTTTCTCTTCCCCTTTTTTAAAAAAGAAAAACAATTTGCAGTAACAGCATAAATCAAAAGGACCATGTTCATCCATCTCTCTCTCTCTCCCCCGCCACTTCACACACACACACACACACACACACACTTGAGGTGTAGGAAAATGGATTTTAGACAGGGCCCCCTCAAAACACACACACACACAAAAGAATGTGTGTATATAAACACACACACACACACACACACACACACACACACAAAAGAATGTAAGAAGCCAGCTGAATGAGACAAAACCTCAACCTAGCCTACCATCTTGTTTGCATCAAGACAATGCTGGGCAACCCGGAATTAAATGTAGAAAACAAAATCCAAATTTAAATTTTTGATTTCCTACTATTTGTACACCAATATTTGAATAACTCATGGAGGCTCTAAACAGAGATGACCTATACTAATAACCCTGGTGAGAGCTTGGGAAAGTTATTTTCCTCAGCTGGAAATGTTACTCTACTGTTGACCTCACTCAACTTTTGCAAGCGGGAGGTATTTACCTACACCAGTGAACCCCTGGAAGCCTCCTGAGAATGGAAGTATGTCCCCTGGATTGTAGAAGGTCTACTGCAGCCTTGCAAGGCATATTACATGATGCTCTAAAGTTCTCCACAACCTTCTTAATAACCTTTTCAGGGGTTCAGAGGATTCCATGGGAAGAAGGCTAAATTGTGTCAGCCTTCCTATTGCTCTGACAAGGTTGGGTTCCGCTTCTAAAAACTGAAATATCAGGGTTTTGTGGAGCAGGACATAGCATCATTCCTACTAAGGCTCCCATAGCTGTTTCCAGAGGGGATAGGGAAGAGAGGGTCTCTTCTAACAGGTCAGCCAAATGGTCATTAAAGAACGAGGCACATTTCTCTAGTCTAGGGATGCAAAGACCTGTATTTCCTTGTGGGTATGTGCTAATTTGTTAGATGCCACATGCTGCTGCCAGGCAAACCCAGAACTAAAAGACAGGGTCATTCCACTTTTCCTCTGCCAACTCCTGTTCGCTCTTCTTCTGCCAACTCCTTTTCTCACTCTTTCTCTTCCTGATATTCCCTCTTCAGTCCCTGCCCTGCAAGCTGGGAACTGGGGGACAGAGTCCTTGACTGATCATTTGAGGAGGTTTTTCCTCCCTGTCATGATTCTATCTATTTTCAGGGGTAAACATGCCTTTTTTAAATTCCATTCATCAAATGACATTTCTTCTCTTACTGTATTTTAAATTGCCAGTTAAACATGCCAGTTGAAAACCTGTGGACAGGTTTGAAACATCTGCTAAGAGATTACAACATAATCATCAAGTAAAATGATTCTGAATGGAAAAGCAATTACAAAGTGCACTAAATTTGATCAGCATCAGGACCCCTGTATTTTCACTCCTTCCTACAAGTTTTGCAGAGGACCCCCACCCTCTCCACCCCACCCTACCACTGCCTCCATCTCACAAAGGGCTCTATTCTGCCCACTTTGGGAGAGCAGTATCTTGCCATCATCCTAATCTCATCTCTCCATAGACGGTTTTGTTTCCCAAATAATGTGCTAGTTGCTAGTACTGGCTTTTTCAATCCCCTCCCCCTCATTCTGTTTATTTAATCCATAGAAACTGTTTGGTCTTACATATCTCAAGGAAATTCTGCTGAGCAAAACATTAAAAGAAAAAAATACATTTATGAAAGCTACTGTTATAGTATTTATTCAAAGAAGGTCCATGACAGAAAAAAAAGAGAGAAATCATACTCTAACCTGGTTGGCAAATTGACAAAGTAGATATACAATTCCTTGTGTTTCAAAGGCCAAATGCAGAAGTAAACAGAAAATCAAGAAGGCGTCAGCTCTGATTCTGGACCTCATGTTATTAAAATAAGTAAATAAATCCCTGTCTGGCAGTTTTAAGTATCCAGTTTGTCAGCCCCAAATGATGCATTCATTAAACTTCAACATCACATTGCAGTCTCTCTTTAGAACTCATGTTGTTAGCTTGCATCTTAAAACCTCCCACCACTACCAGCACCTCATCATTAGAGACGGTTTTGCATCTGAAGGGCATATAGCTCTAGAACTATTACCATTACATTACATGCTGCTGTGGTACTGCTGTTCAGAAGATCAAAGCAACACAGGAAAGTTCTTGTGATGCAAATGCACTGTTTATGATGCTAATCAAAGAATTTAGCTTTGTTTGGGGGAGACAAAAAGCTCCCTCATGAAAGAGACTGAGGGTTGGGGGGAGGGAAGAAGGGGAGCTTAAGTTCTTACCTCCGACTGATGACAAAGGCTGCAATGAGAATGACTACAAGGACAACACTTCCAGCCACTGAGACTAGAAGGACTGTGGGGTTGGTACCTTCACCGATGATGGGAGATGGAACTAGGAGGAGAAAAAAGGTCGGTTAACATTCTGCAGCTTTGCTACACACAAGAGCAACATAGGAATGCTTGGTTAAAGTAAAGAGGCAGGGACTGCACTGCACTGCTTAAAGCCACTCTTGAGTCTGTTCATTAGGTATTCATTTGTCATAATTTTCCAGGAGGGCTTTAATTAGTAAAAGGCATTACGCTCAATAATGGTTTGGAGGAAAACTCATGGAGGATTCTCCCCTTCATGTTTACTCTGAAGAGTATAATGGCTGATTTAGTGCCCACTGTGCTGCTTCCCCTTTTATTGGATTTAAAATGGACCAGATGCTCATTCCTTTACTATGAGCAAAGAGTAGGAGATTCAAAAAGAACAAGATGTTTTCTGCTGTCTTCAAGACACAACTAGAAACTGAGGTGAGAAAAACACAGTCTATGGACCACATATTCCCCTCTCCCTACAACAGCCTGCAGAACATTCACACCCCAAAGTTTTATGTAGGAAAAAACAAAGCCTCCCTCCCCCCCACCCCCAAATGGGAGGAAAGCTTCCCTTGACTGGTATTTTTGGGGAAGGTGGATAGAGTTTTTCTCAAAAAAAGAAACTGCCTCCAGTTTTGGGGGAAAAACCCTCCCTCGGTGAAAAACAAAGCAGGAAGGATGGAAACCATACTTTTTTAAGTTAAGAGAAGAAATTCTGGTGTCTATACGTGAAATACATGGAGTGTATGCAGTCATGTGAAGACTGGCTGTTACATAAGCTTTGGCCATAAGTCCTAGTTCCTTCTGCTTATCACAGCCCTCGACCAATGCTATATGTTGGGACAGTCCAAAATATTTTATTGGCTGAAATATCAAGTAACATCTGTTGAAAGTACAGAAGCCAAAAGGATTTGTAACTGACTATTACCTCAGCACTGGCCATGGAAGAGTATCCTCTGCAGGCTAACTTAGGTAACATAGAGCAGGTTACAGGGTATACATAGCTCTATCCACCGGCATTTTGCTCCTGCTCCTCACCTTCAAAGATGTGCCACCTAAAGTGGCCATTGCCCTCTGCCTAATGATCAGATTAGCCCAAAGTTCCAGTATTGTGTCTTTAGTCAACTGTCAGTGCTAAACTGAACCCCCTCCCCCACATCTGCTCTGAAAAAAAGCAATCAAGTCAAATCAAATTCCCAATCACTGAGCAATATGGGAGGCAAAATCCATTCCCATCTCTGTCTATTGACAACCAAGGAAAGACTACAACATGGTTTAAGCATAACAAGACCCAAAAGAGAAAAGAACAGACCGAGTCCAGTTTTACCAGCCAAGAATGAGACCAGGGAAGGGGAGGGGAAAGCTGAATCTTTTCCTGAGTTCCCTTTCCACCTTATATTAGCTACAAAGGAGATAAACTTTTGTAAAGAAGTTATCTTTATTCTTTTGATCCAACCTGTGATTCTTAATAGAATCTCTGCCATGACAGCTTAGGATACCCAAGTGACTACGCCTGCTTACCTGCTGTTTTGGCTGACCTGCCGTTTTGGCCGACCTGACCCGTGTCAACCAACAAGGCCTACACACTGGCTAAACTATTGCTGCTCATGTTGCTATGACAACTGCTGCAAATGTCAGAGTACCTGAAAGTTCTGGGCTTCATGTTTTGTAACTATTGGTTTCCATTCATGTTACTAGCAGTTATTACTATAAAAGCAGCTCAAGTCCTTTCCCTTAATGTATTTTCTTCTTTTGGATAGTTTTGTGAGAGGCATTCTATGTACGTTTTATATCTTGACAACTATTTAATGAAGTCCAGTGCTATCGTGTAAATACAGATTAGAAAATTAACCTTCTTATTTTGTGGTCTGTATTCTTAGAATTCTCTATGCAATTCTCTGATTTGGTGTACTATTTGGACTTAGCCTTTTCCGTTTAGTAAAATAAATATTTCTTGACAGGTTGTGTGTCTGGACTATTTAGTATGGGAGATCCCTCACAATGAGTCTACTCTTTCTGCTCTGGTTATCTGCTGTTAGATTTGGGTTTCTGATTGTGATTTCAGAACAGCAGAGGACAAAGAATGTTGGCTCTTTACTTTCCTAGCAGCCAAAGAGATGGCTTGGAAAGGATAGGATTCCCTTAGCTTGAGCTGATGAACTAGTACTGGAGCTATGATAAAATATCTGTCTTGTTGGGTTAGATTTGCACCAGGTAAACTCAACCAAATGAAGATTGGCTGATAGTTCCACCTGTTAACCACTTGCCCTGGGCTCCTCTGACAAGTACAAAATGGCCTCTTTTCCCTCCACAATGCTTCCTCCTCAGGCAACTGATATATAACTGGTTGACCACAAGATAAGCGTAAGACAAAGGGCAACACCATAAAGCAATGATGTGTGGTAAGAGTTCCACAAGGATGACATCTCTTTTGCAGCAGCTCCTAGATTTTTAGTCTGCCTTTATACTTAGCCTAAGCTAGGTATTTTTAAAATAGGTCTACCACTTTTGGTTCAAAATATTTTGCTAATTTGGAACAGACTTAGCACACCTGTCTTGAGAGAGCCAAACACTACCGCAAGAGATTTCTTTTCTTGCCAGATGAAATGATCTGAATTTTTTTGCAAGCAACACACGTTAGCATTTTAGGAAGCTGAGCATATAAATCCCCCATGAGTCAATGGGGGATCAAGCCAAAGAGTAATTATAATATATTGTTCCGTTGTACCTTATTAAGACTTCCTCATTAAAATGTTGAAAACAGCTTGAGTCTAATACACAGGATGTGCAAATGCTGGCAAATGTCACGTTTATTGCAGGTAAATTTACACAACAGTTTTATTTCCTCTGCAAAGTGATTTTCAGCTATCAATTTCTGGCATATCATATCACATGTCTGGAATTCTTGGATTTTGAAAACTTTGAAGCACAATTTTGTTCCCAAAAGCATCAGGGTAACAGATAATACTCAGTGACTAGAGGTAGAGAAAGCGCATAGTGGCTACAAAAGCCACATACCTTCTAGTAATGCCTAGTGACATGGCATCATCACAATTCATGTCATTACACTAGTTGCAGCAGCAGTGCATTGAGCTCATAACCTATTCAGGGCTCATTTGTACAGGGCTACACTGTACAACCACTGCAAACATGGGGATGCACACAAGCCCTGCCCACAAAAATCTCCAGGCATGTAACAGTATTAGAGACATATGCTCACTGAATATATTCAGCTCCCATAATCAAGAATTCTGATAAGCAAAAGGTTTGTTTTTCTAAAACCCAAATAAGAGTGGCATTTAGAGCACATGAACAATGATTAAGTCCTAGAAGAGCTGGAGTAAAAGGGTAGAACTCTGGGAAGTGTAGTTCTTATTTATTTCTTGATGTTAGTGAAAAAGATCAGCTGTACTGACATGATAGCATGCTTTTCCTTGGGTTGTCAATGTAGGCTCTTCGTACTAAAAGTTCAAACTATTTTTCTACTAGTATTTTGTCAGGCACTGTGGATATGTTGATGGATCTGATGTATTGTCTTGTGTGTTGTGTGCTCACAGAATTCTCTTTGGACCTTCAAACTTAATCTACCTGACTTCTGAGTAATAGGAACATTATGCTTACACACATATCCCTGTCTCCACTGTAAAGAAGCAGGGAAATGATTGCACAGGACTCATGTCACCAAGCATTCTGTTAACATAGAAGACAGAAGAAAAGGAAAAATATTGATACATTATTTGTATGGATGCTGGGAGCAACTGAAATGGAGAACTGCCATGCCTGTTCAGTTCCTTGAATCTCCTGAGCCTAATGATCACATGCCTGCTGCCACCTCCACTGCTACCATTTCTTCTTCCACTGGAAAACATTCTCCCATGCACCTCTGTGAGGATTTATTTATTATTTTTATTTCTATACTGTCCCATTAGTGTTGCCACTCTCTGAGTGTTTGGAATATGAACACCCGGGAACCTTGTGACTCCCACAGTGCAGTGTGCAAATGGAAAATTTTTCTTTCTGACTGTAGAAGAAAAGGGCATGAGAACATCATGGATATGAATGCTGATTTACTTCCTGGCAGATTGAGTGCTTTCACTCCCAAAATTCAGCTTGGAGGTTCTTGCCAAACTATGGGAGTAGAAGTCCTTTAATTTCAAAAATCCCATCCCTATGCCCTACAGAGAGCTATGTTGTTATCACCTGTATTAGTTGTGAATTCAAATGGGCCACTGAAGTCTCCATAGCCAGCTGCTGTCCTTGCTCTGACATGGAAGACATACGAGGTCAAAGGGTTCAAGCCTTTGATATCTGTGTTTCTTGCTGCTGTTTTCACAATGCGATAGCTGCGTTCGTTTTGGTCCTAAAAGGAAAAAGAACACAGGTGAGAGCACATAAGTGAGACTTGCTCATGAATGCTGGAACTTTAAACATTGCTATGTCTATCATGGAGGGATTAAGATTTCATATAGGGCAAGAGTTATCAACCTCCGGTCCGTGACCCAGTGACAGTCCATGGGCTTGCTGGAACTGGGCTGAGGATACAGATTTCCGCCCCCTGCATGCAAGCGTGGTGGGCATGTCTCACTGAACAGCTGGGGGGAGCAAGCTCCATCGCGGGGGGGGGGACATCAGTACCCATTCAATCCCATGTCCCACTGCTGTTAGATCCTTTAAAACAAAAACTTGTGAAATGTCTGCCAACCCGCTTCCCCCACTTTAATAGTCTATTTTGCTTAGAAAAATAAGTCATGGAAAAATGTTTGAATCTTGTTCCAGTGAAAACCTAAAACCTGTTTCTGGTACTATTAGAAAGCAAATAAAGTGATTATGCTTTTTTTAAAAAATGAACGAACAAATGAACGAGTAAGTAATTGTTCATTTTGCAGACACCTTGGGAGGAAATAGCTCTTTCCATAGTTCTGAACCGGAGGAGGAACAAATTACTTGTAGAAATAATGTCTCCATATAACTTGAAGGAGGTGAAAAATGTAATTTTCTTTTCCTTACTTTCTATTAAAATCTATCAAACCCCAACCACCATTCTGCGTAAAAGCTATCAACTCATACGGAGCTCATTATTATTACTGTGTTATATACTTCATTATTATACATCTGTTTCTGTTGTAAAGCTAACGTTGCACTACTCCTCTGCTGTACTGATTCTCATTATAAATAGCCCCACTGGAATCAGATAGTTCCTAGGGAGAGAAAGAAAAATGCCACCAGTACTGCACAGCAGCAAAAAGGGTGCAATATGTTATTCAGCTGAACCGCTCAAATGTATGAAATGTCAGAGTGGATGTGATTATCAAGGCAAAATAATCTGTTGCTAATAATGGGCCTTTATGCAATGAGAGCAGTAAACCGATTTGGCCATGGCATCAAACATAATGAGGAAAATGTCATTTGTCCAGGATGAATAATACCTTTTCGTAGTATTTGACTTCGTATTCCAAGATGACTCCATTGGGCCTGTCAGGTTCCAGCCACGCCAATGCCACACTGTGTCTTGTTATTTCTTTAGCTTGGATCAAAGCTATTTGGGATGGAGCTGCCAAAAAAAAAAAGGACAGAAAATATTATAGAGTGACTCCAAGAAGAGGTCTAAATAATGTAGAGCATTGGCTTGCTTGTATTTTGGACAATGCAGGACATCTTGGAACCATCCACTAAATCAGCCGAGCCTCAGGCATGTTGGCATCACAGGTGGACTATTAGGCCATGCACTAAATTGTACTTTACTACCTTTGGGACTATGAGCTTCCCAATCTTTCACTGCATTGGTCCGTTGGCTTTGTGGCAAGCCCTCAATCTTTTTAGGACTCAGTCCCCTAGTGAGGTCTTTCAAGCTGTCCTGGCAAGCCACAGTAATGAAATGCACTTTGATAACATCAGAAGTATCTATTCATTTATTGGTTTGTTGGTTACTTACACCACACAAAAACTAGCCTAAACATCTACAGCTACAATGAAGGACAATCCACTATCTAAATGAAATTTAAGCAACAATCATTGGTAAAGAAGAGTACAGAAATGGATAATTGGAATTTCTTAGGTTAATCGACCAAGATCATTTTAGGCTTGGAGCAGATATAACAGCGGCTGATATATTCCCCACCTCAGCTCCCCCTGCCCCTATTTCTGTGAGTCCTTTCTTTTAGTTTTCAGGAAATTTTGAATGCTGGACTGAGTAGTTTTATTTTACTCTTTGGTTTGAATAGCTGAATGATTTTAATGACCTGTTTATTTCTTGAATGTGTGGTTATTTTATGCTGCTATCATATATTGTGCATTTATTACTGTTGCCTTAAGTCATTGTAAAACATGTTACAGTAACAAAGAAGTTCTCTAAAAAGTAAGGAGAGACCCTGAAGATTTTAATAATGAAATCACATTTGATTCAAGATATCCAATAATCATTCTTCAAAGGTATTAATGTATAAATGACCCTGTACCAGATCATACAAGTTGGGCGAGCCAGGGAAGTGGAGGCTTTCTATAACCACATTTTTAAATGAAATTTGTTGAAATCTTCTTCCCTTATAGCTTAGCCCAGTCTACTGAAGCCTATAAGCTTCAGTTAACTAGTGAAAGGGAATGTGGGATGTTTTCAGCCAAAGGGCTGGGAAGGAATTTTCCACATTCTGCCAAGACCCTGAGGAATGACAAGCAGTTCCTGTGGTCTGTCATAGGACTTTTGTTTGAACAGACATACCAGGTCAAACCACTGATCTATCTAGCCTAGCCTAGTCTATTCTGATGAGCAAAAACAACCCCTTGCTCCTCCCAGTTTACTGAGGGAGGGGAAGGACTTCAAAAGAAGACTTTGCTCAGAATGTCAGATTTGAAATTCAAATGCAAGTCTAAAAATTCTGGGAATCTCTCTCCATCCAATTTTTCAGGATTTTGCTCTCTGAATCTCTGCTCTCCCAAGAAGTACGGCAATCAGTGTTATCCTTTCCAACTTCATTGCTTTCTGTCTACAGTGTTTTAATTTACTCTATAGTATGACCATGAGAGCTGGACCACAAAGAAAGCTGACCACCGAAGAATTGATGTTTTTGAATTGTGTTGCTGGAGGAGGCTCTTGAGAGTCCCGTGGACTGCAAGGAGAGCAAACCTATCAATTATAAAGGAAATCAACCCTTTGTGCTCACTGAAAGGACAGATCCTGAAGCTGAGGCTCCAATACTTTGGCCATCTCATGAGAAGAGAAGACTCCTTGGAAAAGACCTTGATGTTAGGAAAGTGTGAAGGCAAGAGGAGAAGGGGACGACAGAGGATGAGATGGTTGAACAATGTCATCGAAGCTACCAAAATGAATTTGACACAACTCCGGGAGGCAGTGGAAGATAGGAGAGCCTGGCGTGCTCTGGTCCATGGGGTCACAAAGAGTTGGGCATGACTAAACGACTATGATAGTATGACAACTGATATACAAAAACATAGCCTATTATTAGAACTAATGAATGAAATAGCTTTTTCTAGTCCTCTTTATCATTTGTTACTTACACCTCAAGAGACATATTACCTAATAGAACTATGGAGAAAGGAGAAGCCAGATCCACCCCGTGACTGTGACTGATGTTATTCCTGACGATTCTCCCCCTCTCCCAACACACAACATGATATAATTCTTGGAAGCCCTATTAAAATCTCTAGGATTGTTTCCAGGGTACATTTGATTTAAATCAAAATGATCAAATTACAATTTAAATCTGATTAAAAAAATAAATTGGATTTTTAATGATTTAAATTGAAAACTAATTTCATATAAATTATGATTTAAATCAATTGCATGTTTTTTAAAAAAATCATATTTTTCCACCCTAATTTGAATAGCTTCTTTGGCTGATACAGACTTCTTTAGAGTGGAAATCTAGCTATTGTCCCCTCTATAATTTTATGTAAACAAAAATCAGGCCTTCACCTCTTCTTTCCCTCTGAAAAGTACAGACTTCCGGACACTGGAAGTGTCAATGAATAAAGAATTGTTTAATTGTGGTTATTCCAAGCAACAGCATATTTTTGGTAGCGGCGGGAGTATCACATGAGTAAACTGAATTTTTATGAGGTGTGATTTAATTTTTGGGGGGAAAAACACTCTAACTGTTCTAATATAAGATCTTTAAAAAGGATGTAACATAAAGCCATCAATCAGCACTTTCCTTGCAAACAGAAAATTTTCATTATTAGTACATAATTGATGGTGATATCCAAATGATGATTGGGATGGGGTTATTTCCACCTGATGTGGCAGTATGCATTAAACTCTTCGGAACACAAACAACAGCTATAGAGAACTCAACACTTGTTTCTCTCATATTATTTTTTTGGGGGGAAGACAATAGGCTTCTTGACAATGGAACAAGTAATAATATACAATGGGTTCAAGTCTGTGTTCCTTTAGAATTACAGTTTCAAATGCACTACGGCAAGCTAAGATAAAACAAACAATGAGATAACTGTGAAATGTCTCAATAGATGCTCCTGATGGTTTCCTGCAGGGCATCACTGGTGCTTGAACCTGAGATGTTTAACAGTGCAGAGGACAATGCCTTTCCATTTTGACTATGACAGTAACAGATTCATAGTCCTGTAGGAGGAATGGGCTTTCTGAAGATTTATTAGTCAAGCTGCCCAGTCGTTCTTATTCTGTTACTGTCTGGTCACGTCTCTAGCCAGCTGTTATCAAGTCCTGCCACAATTGACAAGGAGCTGGTACAAATGACGGTGGTCTCTGGGGAAGAAAGAGGGGCATTCAGAATTTTTAAAAATCTTATCTGCAAAAGCTGGCGTGTATAGCTAGAGATTAGAGACCTTCCAAAATAAAATCCCCTTTTTTTCTCCTTTGCCCCTGAAATGTTAAAAATATGTGTTTCTTTATAAAAAAAGGCAAACAACCAACAAGAGTGAATGGAGATTTACTAAGTAAATTCTCTTGCAAAAAAAGTCACTAGAAGAAAAAAAAAGGAACTCCAACACTGTTTAATAGATGCAAGATTACCCCTCCTTATCCCTCTCTCAGATGCTTTTGAATTGCTTGATTTTGATATGATAATCTGCTCAATTTTATTGTATAACTTATTATTTATAATGTTACTGTGTTTTAGCTCTATTACATTTTAATCATGAGGAGCCTTAGGTCCCAGGATTAAGAGAAAGGCAAAATACTGAATCAAATAATATTGTTCTAGATAGTTTTGCAAGACACCATAAAGGAGGTTTCTAACAACTAAATAAATATCACCCACCCAAAGAAAGAAAATTGGAAATGAAGGCTTCAAAACTACTTGACCATATCGGACAGGTCTGGTGGGAAGGAGCAGCAGGCACCAGACACATAGTCACAAAAGAAACTCTCTGGGTTGAATTGTGTCTGTCAGGAAGACAGTTTTGTGATTTAGTGGTTGACAGTTTGGCATCTCTGTTAGAGATGACTTGAGATGTGCTTCTGCCTCCCTAAACACATCTGCCTGTCTGTATATTTGTTACTCTTCCAGAGTCTCTTGTGCATGAAGATAGACTAGAGGACAGAAACAGGGAGGATCCACTCCAATGAGTTTGATCCAGTTGTTTCTTTGAGGTATTCAGGAGTGTCAAATCCAGTTGTCCTAGCTTTGATAACTCAGTGAGACCCTTACATAATGGATAGACGTGTTCATTCAAGTTGCCTTTTTGTTTTCATTTGAAAGAGGATTCAGGCACAGTTCAAAACCACCACCACTGCTCTCGGAAGGAAGAGCTGATTTGTAACAGTTGAAACAAGAAGTCATGTAACTTGGTTAATTAGTACCTCTTGGAGATCAGCTGGTTGATTCCTTCATTTATTATTTATTTATTTATTGGATTTCTATCCCACCCATCTAGACCAAAGGTCTACTCAAATTTAAAAACAAAGTGGGGAAACACTTGTAAACTTTATTTCTAATACTATCTGAGGGGAAAAATCATTTTCATATATCTTTCATTATCTCTTTTCACTTGTTTGGTCATATGTTTGAAAGGAAAGATGCCGTTCCTGTACAACAGAAGTGCCTGAAATGTACTGTAAAACCCCAAATCAATTTTTGTGGTAAAACTGCTATGCTGCTCACAAGCACACAACAACCTAAAACATTACTGTCCTCTGAAGATGCCGGCCACAGAGACTGGCGAAACGTCAGTAAGAACAACCTTCAGAACACGGCCAAAGAGCCTGAAAAACCCAGAACAACCATTACTGTCCTTTCTTTCCCTGACTGCCTCATATGATTGAACTACTCTCTAAGAACACCTCTGAGATGCCACCTTTCACATCATTCTGTCTTATAGCATCCCGCCTTAAAACCCACCTCCCCATGGAGCATTTGTCACCAATCCCCAGTTAAATGTTTCCCAAAATTTTGACAGCACACTCCCCTTTTTAAAATAATTCCCAACTTTTCTTTCACCATCCTCCAACCACCTACAAAAATTGAATTTGTAATTAAAAATTAAAAATAAAAACCTAATAAAATATTTTAAAATGTAAAATAAACACAAATAGAGTTTTCTTTTAAAACACTACAT